ATATTCCTTCATATATCCTTTGTTCATTTATATGGTGATTGTAGTGTATATTAGTGTTTATGGTTCTGACTCGATCTGTGTCTCTCTCGACATGTGTAATATACATCAATAATTAAAATTATTATTATTATTAGTATTATTTATGTTCGAGTAAAGCGTTTCTGCCTGAAAGATAATATACATTACGCTCTAGTGTCTAATCAAATAATTCATAAACTAATATTTTATACACATTGTGTCCAAGACCTGTTTAATATGTGCTGTAATTAGTCTATTAATTTGACTACCTTGAGGCTACCTTGAGGTGCTTCCGGGGCTCAGTGTCCCCGCGGCCCGGTCGTCGACCAGCCTCCTGGTTGCTGGACTGATCAACCAGGCTGTTAGACGCGCTGCTCGCAGCCTGACGTATGAGGCTACGTCATGAGACGTATGACGTAATGACTAAAATAAAATTTCAGAATATCCCTTTTTTGGGGGGGGCCAGAGTTGGTATTTTTGTTCCGTATTGTTTACTGTATATTAATACAATTAGTGAGTAAGGTAGATAAGGATTCAGGGCTCACCTGCAGTCAATGAGTAATTAACATTGGCGGCCGTTGATATGCTGAGTCAGTAATTAAGCTTTTGTTTATATTCATTTGGTATATTTTCCTTAGACTCACGCTGGACTTGTGATCCTGTGGTCCTGGGTTCGATCCCAGGCACCGGCGAGAAACAATGGGCAGAGTTTCTTTCACCCTATGCCCCTGTTACCTAGCAGTAAAATAGGTACCTGGGTGTTAGTCAGCTGTCACGGGCTGCTTCCTGGGGGTGGAGGCCTGGTTGAGGACCGGGCCGCGGGAACACTAAAAAAGCCCCGAAATCATCTCAAGATAACCTCAAGATAGACTGTCAAGGTAGGTGGGTAGCTGTCTATTGGACGGATGGCAAACCACACTTCATGGAACGAGGGATAGTTGAAAGGGAGAGGGGGGGGGGGGAGCCCCACGCACCCAACCCTCAAGCGTGAACAATAATGAGAGTAAACTAAGCCAATTTAGTATCCCGGAGCGAGGCTTGGTCCACCGACCGCCGCTCTTGTATAAATAATCAGTATTTACTCTCCTGGTATACGCCGTAATAATAATTACTCCCTGTTAATGAATGAATCTGTTATTGGGTAAATTATATCAGTTTAATTAATGATTTAAATGTAATTAATGATTCGTATGTTGATATTATTGTTTCTGTTGCTGCTAGTACTGCTACTGATACTGTGATCAATATTATTACTCCTGATACTAGTACTACTGTTGCTGTGATCAATATTATTATTACTCCTGATACTAGTACTACTGATGTTGTGATCAATATTATTACTCCTGATACTAGTACTACTGTTGCTGTGATCAATATTATTATTACTCCTGATACTAGTACTACTGTTGCTATGATCAATATTATTACTCCTGATACTAGTACTACTGTTGCTGTGATCAATATTATTACTCCTGATGCTAGTACTACTGTTTCTATGATCAATATTATTACTCCTGATACTTGTACTACTGATGCTATGATCAATATTATTACTCCTGATACTGCTAACTGCTGCTGTGATCAATATTATTACTCCTGATACTGCTACTGCTGCTGTGATCAATATTATTACTCCTGATACTGCTACTGCCTGCTGTGATCAATATTATTACTCCTGATACTGCTACTGCTGCTGTGATCAATATTATTTACTCCTGATACTGCTACTGCTGCTATGATCAATATTATACTCCTGATGCTGCTACTGCTAGTGCTACTCCTGTTGCTGCTGTGATTGATTCTAGCCATCTACCTGGGGAGCTGTCACGGAACCGTCACGGACCCGTCACGGAGCTGTCACGGACCCGACACGGAGCTGTCACGGACCCGTCACGGAGCTGTCACGGACCCGACACGGAGCTGTCACGGAACCGTCACGGACCCGTCACGGAGCTGTCACGGACCCGTCACGGAACCGTCACGGAACCGTCACAGACCCGTCACGGACCCGTCACGGAACCGTCACAGACCCGTCACAGACCCGTCACGGACCCGTCACGGAAATACTTGACTATTTTCAGGTTGGTGTTAATACCTCACTTGTCTCCGTAATGCGAGAGGCAGCGTCTTGGGCACACGCACACTGAGAGAGAGAGAGAGAGAGAGAGAGAGAGAGAGAGAGAGAGAGAGAGAGAGACAGAGAGAGAGAGGAGAGAGAGAGAAAGAGAGAGAGAGAGAGAGAGAAAGAGAGAGAGAACAGAGAGAGAGAGAGAGAGAGAGAGAGAGCTAGAGAGAGAGAGAGAGAGAGAGAGAGAGAGAGAGAGATAGAGAGAGAGAGACAGACAGACAGACAGAGACAGAGAGAGAGAGAGAGAGAGAGAGAGAGAGAGAGACAGAGACAGAGACAACGAGACAGAGAGAAAGAGATAAGAGAAAGAGAGAGAGAGAAGATAGAGAGAGAGAGAGAGAGAGAGAAGAGAGAGAGAAAGAGAGAGAGAGAGAGAGAAAGAGAGAGAGAGAGAGAGAGAGGAGAGAGAGAGAGAGAGAGGAGAGAGGAACAGAGAGAGAGTCAGAGAGAGAGCACCCCCCCCCACCCCCCACACACAATCAACCAGCAACATAGCACCACAAGTTTCAGAATACATCACTTAATACTTACACTAATTCACACTTTTTGAAGCACAAAACTTTATATAAAAAAAAAAAGTTCGAAACTAAAATTTAGGCTACAAAAAAAGATTTATATTGCATGTGGTCTTCGCGTTCGGGGTTCGAACCCTGTTGGCTTCTGTGTACTCTCCCAAGTAGCTTTTGTTTAGCTTTGAAGTCTAAAATATTTATGATATTGTTACATGATGTGATCAGAGGTATATTAATTTCTTTATTATTCGTTCTTGTGGTAATATTTAAGTAGGAATAGTCGTTGAAGTATTACTTATAATAGTGGTAGGAATAGTCGTTGAAGTATTACTTATAATAGTGGTAGGAATAGTCGTTGAAATATTACTTATAATAGTGGTAGGAATAGTCGTTGAAGTATTACTTATAATAGTGGTAGGAATAGTAGTTGAGTATTACTTATAATAGTGGCAGGAATAGTCGTTGAAGGATCACTTATAATAGTGGTAGGAATAGTCGTTGAAGTATTACTTATAATATGGTAGGAATAGTCGTTGAAGTATTACTTATAATTGTGGTAGGAATAGTAGTTGAAGTATTACTTATAATAGTGGCAGGAATAGTCGTTGAAGTATTACTTATAATAGTGGCAGGAATAGTCTTTGAAGTATTACTTATAATAGTGGTAGGAATAGTCGTTGAAGTATTACTTATAATAGTGGTAGGAATAGTCGTTGAAGTATTACTTATAATAGTGGCAGGAATAGTCGTTGAAGTATTACTTATAATAGTGGTAGGAATAGTCGTTGAAGTATTACTTATAATAGTGGTAGGAATAGTCGTTGAAGTATTACTTATAATAGTGGTAGGAATAGTCTTTGAAGTATTACTTATAATAGTGGTAGGAATAGTCGTTGAAGTATTACTTATAATAGTGGCAGGAATAGTCGTTGAAGTATTACTTATAATAGTGGCACGAACCGTATTCTCAGTTGTATTAGCCTTCGTAAATTAATAGTAGTACCTATATTATTAGTACTTATAATAGTATTACTTATAATTGTAGTACTTATAAATGTAGTATTATAAGTAGTACTTATAACAGTAGTAGTTATACTAATGGTACTTATAATAGTATTATAAGTGGTACTTATAACAGTAGTAGTTATACTAATGGTACTTATAATAGTATTATAAGTGGTACTTATAATAATAGTACTTATAATAATGGTACTTATAATAGTAGTATTTATAATAGGGGGTACATTAGTAGTAGTGGTAATAAGTATGGATCTTAGGTGTAAGTAGTATCAGTATTTCTTCAGAATACTGATACTACCTATCAGTATCAGTTCCTGTTTAATTGTCAATATCGTAATATGACAATGATACATAATGTGCAAAATACATATTACAAAAGTACATATTATTATAAAATACATATTACAAAATACATATCATTACAAACTACATATTAATTCACGATATTAATACTAACTAAATAATATTACAACATATTAAAAATACAAATAATTACAAAATACATATGTATTTTTAATATATTTACAAAATACATATGTATTTTTAATATATTTACAAAATACATATGAATTTTAATATATTTACAAATACATATGCATTTTTAATATATTTACAAATACATATGTATTTTTAATATATTTACAAAATACATATGTATTTTTAATATATTTACAAAATACATATGTATTTTTAATATATTTACAAAATACATATGTATATTTACAAAATACATGTGTAATAAATGTACATAATAAAATGGTGACACAATTGTAGCAGGCATGAGCAATGTAGTGCTACATACATCAGCATTTGAGACTATTGTATTATTGTAGTATGTAAGACTCTTGTATATCCTACATCAACAGCAAAATACAAAATACAATATGACGATGACCCTTGTAGGTCCAGCGTTCCCAGCGAGTCTAATTTAATTAACAAAATTAAAAAAAAAGAAGGAATGTCAGTTGAATGAAAATTATATGCATATGTATGAGTACTTATGTAATTACAGTTATACATACGTATGTGCAGGCTATTAATCACATATGTATGACAAGGTTTGCCGTTATATGTATGACTAGGTTTGCAATAATGCATATGTATGGATGGACAGGTCATCAGCTATACATATAGGTGTTCAATCATGTCTATGTATGACCAGATTTTCAATTGTTGTGTATATATATATATATATATATATATATATATATATATATATATATATAATATATATATACACAAACTCACATATATATATATATATATATATATATATATATATATATATATATATATATATATATATATATATATATATATATATATATATATATATATATATATATATATAACTCACATAATTAGATACCAGTTGCGTTGCTCCTGGGAGTATGGTTCGAGTCACTTCTGGGGTGTGAGTTTTCAGTCGCATATAGTCCTGGGGACCATTCAGGCTTGTTCGCATATATATATATATATATATATATATATATATATATATATATATATATATATATATATATATATATATATATATATATATATATAATCTGGATCAGTGTATTCATGCTGTAGGTATACATATGTATATGAATTATATTAATTGCAAGTTATGCATTTTATACATTTAAATAAATACTTGTACATACTCAACTCACAAATACTATTCTGTATTATGTAACACAAAGTAGTGCTGTATTTTGTATAATTAATCAATCTGGTTTGTTGTATAATATTTTATACATATGCAATAGAGAATTTTTAATATTGGTATATATTAATATAAATATATGTTTGCTATATTATAATTCGAGAGTAGTAAATTGATATTAACTTTACTAGTGAAACTAATGTATATATTTTATTAGTATTAAAATATTACTGAAATTTGTCAAGTAAATCAGATAGATTTGATAGATAGATATGCATCTATCTTATGAATAGATGCATAAGAAAATGAACTGGAGCAATATAAAGGATTCGAACCCTGGACCTGGCTACTCCCAGTCGCGTACCTCGACATGGTAACCATTGTTGTGGTCCAGAGGTACGGTGCGCGGCTTGGGGATAGCTAAGTCGAGGGTTCGAATCCACCGCATTGCTCCATTTTGTTTTTTTCGGTTGATGTCGTTGTATTAACAAGTTAATATTTGTATAATTATTATTATTATTATTGCTTATTCATGTAAGGTCGTTTGTCGCGCGGAGGTTTGATACGACCTCGGAACGACCTAATTCTTCAGGCGTTAGTTAGACCCTTATAGAGGCTTTACTGTGGGAGGGGAATTATCAGGGGAAAGCGCCAACCATTACGACTATATAGCACTGGGGGGGTCAGGATAAGGATTTGGGATGGGACGGGGGGAAGGAATGGTGCCCAACCACTTGGAGGGGGGGGGGGGGGAGTGTGTGTGTGTGTGTGTGTGTGTGTGTGTGTGTGTGTGTGTATGTGTGTGTACTCACCTAGTTGTACTCACCTAGTTGTGTTTGCGGGGTTGAGCTCTGGCTCTTTGGTCCAGCCTCTCAACCGTGTGTGTGTGTGAACCCCACAATTGCAGGGTTCCTCTACTTGGCCTCCACAACTTGGCCATCCTCCCCGAGTTCGTTCCACTTATTTACAACTCTTAGATACTAAAAAATACTTTCCGACATTTCTGACTCATCTGTGTTTCCAGTTTCCAAATATGTTTTCCCGTTCCAGTGAGCCTCAGTTCTCTCAGTCTTCATTGAGAGAACTGAACCCACCCCTGTCCACTTGGGGTGGACAGTAGAGCGACGGTCTTGCTTCATGCAGGTCGGCGTTCGATCCCCGACCGTCGACGAGTGGTTGGGCACCCATTCCTTCCCCTGTCCCATTCCATATCCTTATCCTGACCCTTTCCCAGTGCTATATAGTCGTATTGGCTTGGCGCTTTCCCCCTGATAATTCCCTTCCTTGCTCAATTCCCTTAGTTCACGAACTATTCTTTTTACATATTTTTTTTTATTTTTTCGAGTTTTAGTTTTGTGCTTCTTTATGTAGGGGTTCCATGCCGGGGCCGCATACTCGATGACAGGTCTCACAAGGGATGGTTATCCAGGTTGGTTAAGGATAACCAGTTGGCCAGTATGGCGTCTGCTGCCCCTCGTTATCCTGCTGGTGTGTGCCTCTGGTGTTAGATATCCAGTTATGTTCACTTCTAAGTCTTTCTCTTTTCCAGTAGTTGCAAGTTGGCTTCATTTCATCTTGTGCTGTATTTGAGATCTTCTTCTTCATCCAATCCCTATTCTCATAACTTTACATTTATCTGAGTTAAACTCTATAGTATTAGAGTGACACCTCTAAGTAAGCGTACTAGAGTCGAGCCTCTAAGTGGACATATTAGAGTTGCTCCTCTAAGTCAGCATACTAGAGTCGAGCCTCTAAGTGGACAGTATTAGAGTTGCTCCTCTAAGTCAGCATACTAGAGTCGAGCCTCTAAGTGGACATATTAGAGTTGCTCCTCTAAGTCAGCATACTAGAGTCGAGCCTCTAAGTGGACAGTATTAGAGTTGCTCCTCTAAGTCAGCATACTCGAGTCGAGCCTCTAAGTGGACATATTAGAGTTACACCTCTAAGTCAGCATACTAGAGTGTAGCCGTCAAGTGAGCGTATTGAATCCTCGTTACCTAGCAGTAAAATAGGTACCTGGGTGTTAGTCAGCTGTCACGGGCTGCTTCCTGGGGGTGGAGTTCTGGTCGAGGACCGGGCCGCGGGGACACTAAAAAGCCTCGAAATTATCTCAAGATAACCTCTCAAGATAACCTCGTAGTGATAATACTAGAGAACCCGGTGATATTGAAGGGAATTCCATTCTAAACGTAATCCCGCGGGAGTAGATCCCTCTTCTTTTTTATATCACGCGGTACAAGAGCGGGAGATTGGCGGAGGGACGTTTAAAAGGGGGTACAATACACGTCCTGGACCCGGTGACAGGCAGCCACGATAACAGTAATGAAACTGTAGGCGTGGTAGTGATTGGTGGTCTAGTGGTTCCCAGTCTCTCCGGGATCAATTCCTGATGATATCTGGCTTGAATTAATATCAGTACTCACCTAATTGTGCTTGCGAGGGGGTTGAGCTCTGGCTCTATGGTCCCGCCTTTCAACTGTCAGTCAACTGATGTACAGGTTCCTGAGCCTACTGGACAGTGGTGTATTCCAAGAACGTTTATACAATATACTACTCTGTCTCTGGTTGTTGGTTGAGGTACATGTTGTTTGTGTCTTAATTTGAGCATAAATGCTCTCTGAATGGCCATTAATCCAAACTCACTGAGTGGCTATTCCCGCCAAACACACACCGAAACTACGACGTTGGTACAACGTTCGAGCAAGTTTTAACACCTCCTAACCAGTTATAACAACCAATATAGCAAGTTGTAACAACGTTCTAATACGTCATAAACACGTTAAGCCAAAATGTAACAAGTTTATTACAAGTTGTAACAAGCGGAAAATAGAGACAGTTACGGTTTGTGTTTCCAGGGTTGAAACTAAAATGAAAAGGTACAAAGATTTACAACAAGATTGGTACCAGAGCTAAAAGGGTTAAGCTATGAGGATAGGCTTATGGAACCAAACCGCAGAACCCCAAAGGATAGAACAAACAGCAGGGATATGCTCGAAACATACAAGATACTAAGGTGAATAGAGAAGGACAACATCATTATATTGAGTGAAAGTAGGACACAACACAAGTGAAAACACAAACAAATATATGACCCATGAGTTACAGAGTTCTGGTACTCTTGAAGCCAGAGCTGGGGACATGCTGGGCTGTGGAGAACTTGACATATCAGGCTGTTACTTGCAGCGGGCCGCAGGCTCATGTATCCACTACAACCTGGCTGTTCCGGCACTTTCTGCGTCAATTTTCATTTCACATTCCGGCAATATTTTTTAGGTTTTGTGAAAGGAGGTTTAAGAGCCCTCGTTGTGTCTATGGCACTTTCATTCTTCACTATGGCACCTCTACTTTACTCTATGGCACCTCTACACTTCTCTATGGCACCTCTACACTTCTCTATGGCAATTCTACTCTTCACTGGCACTATTCTCCATCTCCTCTCATATCATTCGGTTCATTAAGGGATTTTTGATCCCGGCATGAAATATACTGAGGAATATAAATGAGATAGTGTTCAGGTGGAACAGTAAGTGTATTAAACAGTAAGTGTATTAAACAGTAAGTGTATTAAACAGTAAGTGTATTAAACAGTAAGTGTATTAAACAGTAAGTGTATTAAACAGTAACTGTATTAAACAGTAACTGTATTAAACAGTAACTGTATTAAACAGTAACTGTATTAAACAGTAAGTGTATTAAACAGTAAGTATATTTAACACAAGCACCTGTGGTACCAACATGCAAGAAAGGCAGAGAGCACAGACCAGTATCACTCTCATGTATCCCCCTGAAAAGTACTGGAAAAACATTAGAGAGGAGTAGAAACACAGCCAAATTCAACCATGGCTTTAGGGAAAGGGAATTATGTGTACCTTTTGCAGGTCGACTAGAGAAGAAGACCTGGAAATGGACATAACACCTAACCCCAGAGGCAAAAGTCAGAGCATCCTTCAGGAACCTAAATAACGAGGCATTTAGATCACTGTATGCCACCTACGTGAGACCAGTTCACTGTATGCATAGACAGGACCTTGAGAGTCACACACACGAAGAAGAAGGGTGTTGTAAAGTGTTCTTCAAGAGTAAGATTAGTGGAAGATTGGAATGTTCTACATAAGCTTGGCAGGGTCCATGAGGTAAACTCGATATTGTAGACAAGATAGATAAGTACAAATAGGTGAACACACACACACACACACACACACACACACACACACACACACACACCAAGCCATCTGAAGAAGCATATAATGAAACTGGAAAAGGTTCAGAGGTTTGCAACGAGACTCGTCCCAGAGCTACGAGGGATGGGGTATGAGGAGCGCCTGAGGGAACTGTGCCTTACGACACTAGAAAGAAGGGAGAGGGGGGACATGATAGGAACGTATAAGATACTCAGAGGAATTGACAGAGTGGACATAGACGAAATGTTCACACGGAATAGTAACAGAACGAGAGGACATGGATGGAAGCTTGAAACTCAGATGAGTCACAGAGATGTTAGGAAGTTTTCTTTTAGCGTGAGAGTAGTGGGGAAATGGAATGCACTTCAGGAACAGGTTGTGGAAGCAAATACTATTCATAATTTTAAAACCAGGTATGATAGGGAAATGGGACAGGAGTCATTGCTGTAAACAACCGATGCTCAAAATGCGAGATCCAAGAGTCAATGCTCGATCCTGCAGACACAACTAGGTGAGTACAACTAGGTGAGTACACACACACACACACACACACACACACACACACACACACACACACACACACACACACACACACACACACACACAAACACGTGCCTCTGGTATTGCCTTGAACCAATACCATATCTTTGGCGGCGACCATGGAGCGCTTACGGGGACACCTGAGGCGTGTCTGTGAATGCGGACGGCCAATCGTTAAGACGGGGGCCATCTGGACAGGAGCCAGCCACGAAGGTAAGGGGAGAGGGAGGACGAGTGAAGAAAACCAGCAAGCAGGAAGGGAAGAGAAGGAGGATACTGGAACAAGGTAAAGTAACGTTGAAGAGGAACTGCTAAGGCGGGGAATCGAACCCCGACACCATGAGATACATGACTTTCACAGTACCGACCACTCCACCTCCGAAGATGGAGGGGAGATTATGGTAGCTGTAAGTTATGGCACCTATGCCTTCCCCAGCCGCTGGTGGCACCAGTGTCATCACCAGTGGCACCAGTGGCACCACTATCATCACCTGTGGCACCACTGCCGCTCCACAAGCACCAGCGAGCTCAATAAGCTGTAAGATCCAGGAGACTCTCCCTCTCTCTGACGGAACAAGAATAGTGGTGAACGTGTCCAGTACTTGGCTGGCTGGCATGTCGTCTTACTCACCGGCATTGGTTCGATTCCCTGTGATGTGTGGACGAGTGGGGAAGGAGCGTGTAGCCATCTCTCCAGTCCTACAGGCAGCGAGGAAGCTCTTAACAC